GGGGCAGCTCCTGCCGTAGCGCGGGTGAGGCGGCGCTGTGGAGCCGTTAGGGGCAGCCCCCAGCCTCCTCCTCCTCCTCCTCCCCCTTCTATCAGGCAAATACCCTCCCTTTTTTTTTTGCTTAGTTCTGTCTTTCTCCACAAAAACGTGGTGCTTGTAAAACGCCGGGGAGAGGCCGGTCGCCTCAGCGAGACTCAGCCGCGGACGAGGCAATCCGATAAAGGAGATTAAAGCTCTACCCCCCGGCTTGGCCTGTGAGGGAAAGTTTAACCGCACGGAGAATTAAGGCATATATTTATTTTTAGGAGCTATCCCCCCCGCCTTCTTCCAGCGTTTTACCCAGTGATAAATCAACCAAGGTCAATAAGCCGCCTTGACAAATGGGATAACCTCTGCGAGAAATCTCTTCTTGTTTTTTCAATAAAACCCCTCACCTGAGGGCTCTGATGGACGTTCCAGCAAAATAAAGATGAAACCTAAACTGCTTGAAGCCAGGTCTGGGTGAAAATAGTTAATTTTGGGGAAACAGGGATGCAGGATGTAATTGCTGTTGCTGCGATGAAGGAAAGCTGCGGTATAAAATGTCAAAGTCCCGCTTGCAGGCGTGTGCTGGGCATCTATTTTCAGAAATAGGGTGGGTTGGGTTTTTTGTTGCTTTTTTTGTTGGTTGTTGTTTTTTTTTTTAAATAACCCAGTGAATCGCTTGCAGCCTGGTAACGCGCTTGCGTAACCGGCCGTGTTGATTTCACCTTGCCCTATTGATTTATTTAAAAATAAATCGTGGCACTGGGTGTTTCAGTTTGGCAGGGAAAGGTGGGAAAACAAGGAAAATCTTGCTTAATTTCTTTTTTTATATATATATCCTGCCTGTGCTGCGTAATGAAGCTGGAGAAATACAGGGCTTGGGCTGCTCGCAGAGTATTCCCTGCTGGTTTCCCCCCCTCTCCCTTAAAACCAGCAGGATCAGACTGCTTTCATGTAAGAAATTTAAGTTTTTTAGGTTGTGTGGAAGACAGGAAAGCGCAGAAAACGGACCCAAACACTTGGCTGCGGCAAGATGGCTGGGATGTGGCTGCAGTTGACCCAGGTTGACCAAAGGAAAAACCTCTATATTTCTCCAGCTTTCTCCATCACGTTTGGGGAAAAAAACACCAAAATACCATCAGCACTGAGCCAGCAAAGCCCCGGTGACTGCTTTGGCCTCGGTTTTCCCTCCTGCAGTGTTCCCGGCTCCATCCCGGCTCCTCGAAGGCAGCGATGGCAGAGGGAAGACACAGGAGGAATCCATCTCATCTCTCCCACTCTGCTTTTCCCATTTCTCACGAGTAAAACGCCGGGAAAATGCACTTTCCAGCTCATTTGCAGGCTGGCTTTCCTCACACCGTGCCAAAACCCTTCGCCTTGCAAACAAAACCTGAAAAAAAAGGCTTTATTTGTTACGAAGCAACACTTCGACCACCGATTTAAAAATACTGCAGCCGTGCCTGCGAGCTCCTCTTTTAATTTAAAAGCTCTTTTTTTTAAAAAAAAAAAAAAGAATAATCAGGCAGTCCTTTTGAGTTGGAAGACAACCTTTGGGGGTTTGGGTGTTTTTTAATGGGATACACT